TGCGTCTTAATTTTCTCTTTCTAACTGTGAAAACCGCACGTTTCTATTTTGTCCCTTCGAAAAGTTACACCAAAAACACTATTTGCAATCATATTGTCTTTGGCAGTATACCTTCTATACCCCTTATATCTCCTATATCTCCTATACCTCCTATATCTCCTATATCTCCTATATCTCCTATATCTCCTATATCTCCTATACCTCCTATACCTCCTATACCTACCTATCTATCTACCTCTAACCCCTAGGACATAATCGAGTTTCCGGGGATACTCTCAGAAGACATGTAATCGAAAAAGAACATGTGTTATAGCATTCACCTGTGTTCTCTTATAAGAGCACATTTGATTACAACTTGTTTTTTTGTCTAGATGGAGGAGCCGAAATCAATGTCAAAACTACGACTAATACTACTGTTGATTGTTACTTGTTTAACGTTGAGCACCACAGTACTCGTTGGCTTCATTGGTCATCTGATCTATTGGGTCTTATTCGAATCATTCGGTCGTGATAGTCCTAGGATAAAACGAAAGCTTGTTTTGACCAAAGACAATGGAGATAACGAATACTATGCAGTTATCATCGGTGCCGGCTTCTCTGGCATGGGCATTGGTATCAAATTGCATGAGGCTGGCGTGAATAAATATGTCATATTGGAACGTCTATCGCACATCGGTGGTACTTGGTATGCCAATCAATATCCGGGTTGCGCATGCGATATTCCGTCCAATCTCTACTCGTTTTCATTCGAACCCAACTCACGATGGTCATATTTTTTTGGTCGGCAACAAGAAATCCTCGAATACATGGAACACTGTGCAGATAAATACGATCTTCGTCGACACATTGAATTCAATACAACAGTTATTCGTTGTGATTGGCTCGACGAACGACAAGTATGGAGAGTAGCAACTCGGTTGAAGAATGATCAAGAGAAAGAATTCTTCTGTCAAGTATTAATTTCCGGTAATGGACCCTTGTCGAATGTGTCACACAGCTGAATGGGATAAGACAATTGATTTCATCAATAAACGAGTGGCTGTCGTAGGAACTGGTTCTAGTGGAGTTCAAGTTGTGCCCGAATTATACAAGATGAACACGTCAAAGTTGTATGTATTTCAACGTACACCTGCCTGGGTCATTCCTCGTATCGATCGACCTATACATGCATGGGAAAAACGCCTCTTTATGATGTTTCCCATTATTCAAAAATTCATTCGAGGAATCATCTATTGGATATATGAATCGACTGCACTTTCGTTTACTTACCGATTACCAATTCGACATATCTGTCAAGAATTAATCAATTATAATCTTATTAGACAAGTTAAAGATGAAGAATTAAGAAGGAAATTGGCACCGTCATTTGATGTTGGTTGTAAACGAGTTTTAGTTAGCAATGATTGGTATCCAACATTGCAAAAGCCCAATGTGTCGCTTGTTACTAGCCGAATACGAGAAGTGACATCGAATTCAATTGTTACTCAAGATGGTAATGAATATCCTGTTGATATTATCGTTTGGTCAACTGGATTTCAAGTGCACAAAATTCCATTTGAAATTTTTGGCTCAAACGGTGTTGCACTTTCCGAACTATGGGCAGAAAGTATTCAGGTAAGTGAGACATTCACACGACCAATTTGCAGATGTATGAATATGTCTTTTTATCTAGGCCTACCGTGGTACGACTATGCCTAACTTTCCTAATTTATTTTTAATCCTAGGTCCGAATACAAGTTTTGGTTATAATACGACTGTATTCATGATCGAAGCGCAATTGAATTATATTATGGAAGCGCTTCTATTCATGCAAGAAAGTAGTGCAAGTTCCATATTGGTCAAGCAAAATGTTTTTGAACAATACAATCAACAGTTACGATCAAAACTGAAAAATACAGTGTGGCAATTGGGTGGCTGTCATTCATATTACTACGATGCTCATGGGAATAATATAGGAAATTGGCCGGATTTTACATGGATTTACTATTTACTTATGCGAAATTTTGATCATAAAAATTATCATATTACAAAAACGTCATATGATACATCGTTTTAGTTAAATATCATCTTTGTATCTTATGGAGAAACTGGGTATATGTGGGTATAAATGTAGATGTAGCACTTTTATTCATCCACACCTCACACCTGCACCCGCATCCTTTTTTTTGACTAATTATTGTGCGTTGTATACTGGAATATTTCCTTGGTATAATTGAGTTATTGTTTTGAATAAAAGAAACATTTTATATGAATATTGATATTATAAAACATGCGATGCTTAATATATCTATGATTTAGTTTTAGGTTTTTTGTAGAATTGGAGACTTCTGTTCTAACGTTAATCTTCTTTTTTCCTTTTTTCAAAAAGACAAAAAGCGAGAATAGGGTGTGCGGTGTAGGTGTAGATGAAAAAATACGCTTACCCACACCCACACCCAAACCGAAAATAAAACGAAGCATATATCAAACTGAGGAAAAGAAGGAAAATAATCAAATCTATTACTATATCGACACATGAAATTCAAAGAAAACATAAAATACATTGGGAAAATTGCCGCACAATATGGACAGAACAAAATCCATATAAATAAAAATATACGGATAACCAATAATAAGAGCATATCAGCCGGAATCAAGCTGTACAACGTACTCTATATCACTATGAGATACCCAATGATCCACGAATTCGCAATTCAAGGAAATCCGAGGAAATCAACCAACGCAACAGATGTACATAAAATATTAGGTTACAAGCCTTAACTGCGATAGAATTTTAGCAAATTCTAGAAAATCAAGCAATTCCTTGATTTCCTACAATTTCCTTGAATATCCAAAATTCCATCAGAGTTTGGGGTGATCACTGGTCTTGTTCTGTATGTTTGTTGAATTCCTTGAATCTCTAGAGTTGCTTTCAGTCTCTTGAATTGCTTGATTTTCTAGAATTTGCTAAAANACAGTTTATTTTATATATATGCATCTTTTGTTTTTATAATAAGCAAAGCTCTGTGCGACCAAAAATGATCTTGTTCGCAGCGTCGAAAATTAGTCGCATAGAATTTTGTCCATTTTGAAAACAAAGAGTGCTTGCATAAAATAAGGTGTTTAATGTAACTTGTAGAGCTTTTCACGTTGCACCTTATGGTATACTTTACTTTTAAAATAATGTGCTTGGCGATAGAAAAAAGAGACAAATATCGGACACTTATCAGACATCCGTCAGCTTTGAAAGTGGGGTACTTTTAATGTGTCGGATAATCTTCGTTTAACGTTTTTCCTTAACTTTCTACAGAAATAAGTTTGATTATGATTTTACAGAGAATTTCACGGCGCATCTTTTGAAAAAACAATTAGCTCTAAAGAACAAAAAGAAAAAAAAGTTAGTCAAAATACCGAGAGGGCCGTTTAATCTGACTCACCCGTTACATGTGATGGCACTTCATAATAATGTCTTAGGTCTAAATGATTCTTTAATTTTAGAAGAGAGTAGACATTCAAACATATGTTTGATTGTCCTAAAATGTATTAAAACAATTAAGTAGTCAAAGTTATCCTCTCTCGGATCTTAGCCATTCTTTGAAATAGAGTTCTGAAGGTTTCTCTTCTACACGATTCTGGCGTCGATTCCTTGAATCCAAAGAGAGTTATGAGGTGTTATAAGCCTTTTGCCCATGAGTCCTATAACTCCAAAAAAGAAGAGAACCTTGTAGTTGAGTCAACTATTATTCTGTGAAGTAGTCCAGCGACTAAGGCTAGAGTCGGTCCAACAGACCTACATTGCTAAAATAGTATATGTCTAAGAAAAAACTTCAGACTTCTACCTCAAAGAGTAGCTAAGATCCAAGAGAAAATACTGTTGACTACAGTAGTTCGTTTAATACACTTTAGAACAATCAAAAAAATGTTTGGACGTCTACTCTCTTTTGAAAGTAATGAACTGATTTAATCTAAAATATTATTAAGAAATGTCATCTTTAACGCTTCAGAATAGTGAAAAGTAATTTGAATATGGTATCTGGTATTATTTTTCAGACATCTTATAGTCTCATAGAACCCTACGCGTGGCCAAATTTCAGTTAGGAATGTTCCCTTCTAGGTAAATTTTGTTTCTTTACCGCCACCAACCATTTTCGATAGCCTCATGTCTAACTGGACGAAAACATTCGACAAAAATCACTGATTTCGCAAAATTAGTAAGCCTACACAGATTCTTTGCGATGTAACTCACTTGTTTGAGACAAATTTTCCGAAATAAGAAGGCTATGAAAAAGTTCATCAAACAGTACGATAATTCCATGGATGAATTGCAAAATATCTTAATCACTGTGGTTTTGTTTTCATCTATCTTGTAATATCTTCTCATTTGCTAACAGGAATTTGATGACCTCGGCCCTCGATTGGTTAAAGTCGGAGATCATGGATTCCCAATTCTTCTCGGTGCATTAAGAAACAACATGGTAAGTCTGATTATTGCTTCAGTTTCTCATGTCAATCACTTTTTCTATTTTTCAAATAGAAATTGAAGAGACTCAATCTGGAATGCGAACAAATCGGAGCATTGGGAGCACAACGCCACTTGAAAAAATAGATTATTTTCTTAATTAATTAGGAGATAATAATCGATTTCAATCGAATTATTCCCCCAAAAAACCCATGTTTTCTGGAAAATTTGAATAATAACTTCAAAATCAACAATAGTCTTAACACTGAGTTCGATAGTTTTTACTCAGTCAATGTTTTGTTGAGTTCAATAGAGTTTTTACAACTCGAAAAATCAAATATGTCCTCAAAAATAGATTGCTGAATTATTGGAGGGTGTGGATGCAAGCCTTGTTTTCGGAAGTGCAAAGAAACAAGGTCCGCACCTCACATCCTTTAAGATTATAATTGAATCTTAGTGCTTCTGTTCTCTTTCTTTTATAAATCACAAAAAGATAGTACCATTTTGGATAACGGAGAACAATGTTCAATTGAATTCAATGAAAGTCTTATTTTAATTGACTTTTAACACATTGCAACTCACGCGTATATGAATTCGCTAAGATTATTTGAAAGTATAACCAAATAGGATAACATCTTAAGAATGCGGATATGGGCGTTGGTTGATGTCTCCATCCACATATACGATCGTAGCGATCAGGTTGCGGATGAAATGCCCTGAAAACATTTTTTAAACTTAATATCCAACGTTGAAGAGTTTCACTGGAAAATTCAATGTTTTCGAAAAGAGTGGTTTTTGTTTCAGGTTTTCAAACCATTTGAGTTTCTTTAATTTTTCTCCATAAAAGAAGCACTAGGAAAAAATAAAAATTTACTAATACTTCATCAGCTATAAGAAATTTCTATCAAATTGTATATCGTAAACTCTTAAAATAAGTTTCTCAAATTTGACTTTATTTATATCTTATCACAGATAGACTTAGATATTGATATGCCTTAATACCATTGTCGATATCCATATATGCTAACGACTAAATGTATACAATTTACTCTTAGATTGCTATTGTCAGAAAGAAGAGCCAATCTTATCTACACTGATAACCTGTATGGGATGTAGTTGTACGCCGCCTTCACTGCACTCGCACACCCATAGTCTTCACATCAGTCGAGAGAACAATAAGCATCGTTCTGATAGCAGATCAAGTCGTAGGTCTTTCAAAGAATGATGTCTCCATTATTCGTTCATTTTTATTTAATAACTTAAAAATGAATTCTTATAGGCAGTGAACCATGCTTATCTTGGTTCGTATAATATTTTTTAAGAGCATATTTGCCATGTGGAAGCTTAGATCTTGATATAAATGGGTGTAAAACTTAATTCAAAACTAGACACAAAAGAACTGCACAAGATGATTAATTATTTTAATTAATTCTTCTACTGGTTTTTACATATAAGTTTATGTTCATGTGATTTCCAGTCTATAATTTGACACTCTTTTGTACAATAACGTGCTCGTTCACATAGATTACAGACATGTAATGCGTTTGGTTCATCACCACATCGACATATATTTATCACTCATTCTGATTCATTTTGAAATATAATCGATGAAAAATCATCGACACGAATGAACATGTTTCCATCATATGCACCTATTCATAAATATAGATTTATAGTATGCATTCAAGTTTCAATGGTAAATACATCATTGATTAAATGTTCGCCTTGCTTCTCATCAAAACTACAAATAACCATATGATCACAACCATTATTTTCATCTTCAATCACAAGATGAATAGATGGTCTCCAAATAAGAGTTTCGTCAATAATCGTTACAAAAAGAATATATCCATTATAAGCATGATATCAACAAGTGACTTGACTGTTGGTCTTGATAACTTATTAAGTTTCCGGAAAACTGGAGCATTTTCAAAATGATGCTACCTACTTCTTTAACAGATGAATGCTCTCTTATATAAAATAAAACAACACTGTTTTACATTCATTCTTCTTCATCGTGTCATTTTCTCTTAGAGTGTCTATTGAGTATGTAAAAGTTGTTCACAAAAATAGTAGAATACGATTCGACTGAATGGTGCAAAAGTAATTATACAGAAAGGAATCGAATATCTCACTACTTTCTTTTGCAAGAATGAGTTTACTTTTACATTACCAGTAGAGAAAATGTTCATAGGTCATATTCATGACAAGAATCTTCATCAAAATAGTTTTCAAATGTCATCATCGGCCTGAATAGGAGAATGAAACTTTTAAAATTACTTCTACATTTAATCTAAGTTGTCTTCATGATTCAAATGAACGATATCAATAAATTGTTCGGTTCGCTATTTCGACTATTCACACTACGTCTCATATTTCCTTCAATATTTGATATATGATTACTTTAGTTTTCTTTCGCACCTTCTAGAATAGAAGAGAAAACTATGAAATCATTCAAAATTATTCAAAAATGATAGTGAGACCATCATCACAACGAAACTTGATCTTAATCATTCATCAATGCGTCAAATAACATTAACAGTTTCGTCAACATATTTTCTTTTTGTATCTTTGAAAGTGCGAGATTACACTGAAGAAAGAAAATATGAAATGTTGAGATAAATATATAAAGGGTGGGTCATAAATTAGTCGGGATTAAGTAATTTAAATATTTCCACTTCGGTTCAATCAAATGAGCTCATTTTTTGGTTAGTGATAAAACTTTACTCAAAATTTTATTTCATGTGCGGACAATGTAAGTAAATATTGCTATTAAATATTATAATTGCCTTCACTAAAAAAGCTTTACCTGTTGTCAAGTAAGAAAAATACATGTGAAGCATTCTGTAGATGATTTTCAATTGCCATCTGAGAGGATGACAAGAGGAAAACAAAACAACCTAAAAATGATACGATGTTGATGCACAGCAAGAAATTTTTCTGATCCAGTTAATTTAACAGTCAATAGTTATAATGTTTCAAATTTTCACCTGTGGAACACTGGCTATTGTTAGTAATTTGCTGATTCTGTATATGAAGGGCTTCAACTATGCGTTTTAGTTGTCGGACACGAATTTCAGCATTTAAACTAACTAGTTCAGAAATTTTTCTCGCTATGCATCAACGTCGTATCATTTCTAAAGATTGTTTTGTTAGCTGAAAATTATCTACAGAATGCTTCACATGTATTTTTCTTACTTGACAACAAGTAAAATTGTTTGTCGTAAGGGCAATTATAATATTTAATAGCAATATTTACTTACATTGTCCATACATGACATAAAATTTTTAGTAAAGTTCTACTACTAACCAAATCAATCAGCCCATTTGACTGAACCGAAGTGAAAATATTTAAATTTCTTGTCGTCGAGTTATTTATGGTCCACCCTGCAAATACATAAATATATTTGGTGATGACGTCTTTTCTATTTTTAATCTTATGATGACATAAGTACTTTCAAAAGTTCGTAAATAAAACCGATGAAAAATCTTATATTCATCTTTTACTGAATTTTTCGGCTTATTAATAACCCCAATTTATAACTCACGCTTGACTATAACACGTGAAGATGTGCGGTAAAAACTCTCGTGACAATAAGAATCTTATCTCACCACTAAAATTTGTGTGAAAATAACATATGTAAGAATGTTTGATAAGTTTTGGGTCTATCTTGATTTTATTTGTTTTTTTTCAGCATTCCAAGCTGAGCAGACAATGAATTGACATACACACCAATTTCATAGGATAAGATTTCAGCAGAAAATTTTTCTTTTTATTCTACTTATTAGTGTGAAGATCATTTAATTTTAATTTAATTGCTTTAGAGAAAACTGGATGGTTTCATCATAGATGGCATCATGATCTGTCGAATTTGGTGTTTTTTATAAGAAAATGCTCATTAAAATCGCAAACAAAATGCAAATTGGTAAATAAACAAGCAAAAGAATTTTCAGTACTTTTACACTTTAGTATCCCATAGCATCTGATTGCAATCAACTTTCTTCATCGTTCGGTAACCAATCAGATGCCTTGGGTTACTAAAGTGTAAAAGGACCGAGTTGGGCTATATTTACGTTGTTATTGATTTCATACTCGATATGTATATTTTGACAAAGTTCTTTTGAAAAAGTCGTATGTCAAAAGAGTGCTCCTTTATACACAAGGGAAAGTCAAATGTGAGCGGCGTCTTCCATTATTTGTCGATGGGTTCGCACATTATGATTTTTGGTTCTTTATTATTGTTTCTCTTTCTTGTTGACTTACACGTTATACTACATAAAAATGAGTCTAAAGGAAAGCAAAAAAACAAGACACGCGCTCTTTTAACAACCCACATTGACGTTACATATTACTTACGACAACTTTCTTCGTCATGGTATCAATTATATTTCCAATTCTCTTTGTAATCATCATTCTTCTGATTTATATCTATTTGAAACGAGGTTACTCTCCATTACCAGATGATCTACCAGGAGTGAAACCACAAATTTTTTTTGGTAATCTAATTAATTCAGGTATATTGACTGGAAAAACAACATTTACTCAAGTCATACTCGATTATCAACGCCGTTTTGGTGACAAGTTTCAATTTTGGTTCGGTTCATATCGATGTTTAGTTTTCTGTCAAATGGAACATGCTCAAACGATATTTGCCGATCGTCATACTTTCGAACAATCGCCATTATTTCTTCCAAACTTCGATCTTCTTTGTCCAAATGGCATTGCAATGTTGACTGGCGCTAAATGGAAACGACATATACGAGTTCTGTTACCCATGTTGAAACGAGCAAAGATTGTCGGTCATTTAGAGAGAATTGTTGAATGTGCTGATCGTTTTATTGATCAAAATCTTCATTCTGGTCAAGTTCATCGAGATTTGATTCCATGCTGTCAATCATTTACAATGAATGTGATTGGATTCATTGGATTCGACTATGATTTCGATATCCACGTTAATTCACCAATAAAAAAAGCTTTTCAAGATTTTATCTTCCATGCCGTATGGCTTATGATAACACCCTGGATTCCTCGATGGCTAGGGAAAATCTATTTGATATGTAATTGGAAATATCAAAGAGCCTATCGATTGATCCACGAATTGGCAGAAAAACTCGCTGAAGAAGAACAAAACAAAAAAAATGAAAATGAACGACCAAAGAATCTGATTGCTTCATTGGTCTCATCATTGAATGAACAAGCCAACGACGAACAAACTTCATCGGGTCTCACGCTCGCGGAGATATTCGACGAAGTTTTAATGATGATTCTAGCTGGTTATGAAACGACATCAACCGCTCTATCGTGGTTTATATTCTTCGTAAGTAAAAATTCTCGAGTGCAACAACAGATGAAAGACGAATTACGTAAGCATCATCTTCTGGTGACTGATGATCTCACAAGTGCACCACCGCTAACCCCAGACAATTTAGCTTCACTAACCTATTGTGAATGTGTAACAAAAGAGGTTAGTTTTCTTTAGAAATGATAGACTATTTTTGTAATATTCTTCTCTCGTTCTAGGTCTTACGTTTAGCTCCTGTTGCTGCATTCACAACCCGTATAGCTACTCGTGACACGATAGTTGACGATGTGACGGTTCATCGAGATCAAACTGTTTTTATTCCTCTACATAACATCAATACTGATGCTCGCTATTGGCATCATGCTGACCCTCGACAATTTATACCAGAAAGATTTTTAGCTGAAGATCAAAATCACCATCCATTGGCGATGATTCCTTTTGGTGGCGGACATCGAGCATGTATTGGACAAGAATTAGCTTGGTTAGAGTTGAAAACGATCATTGTCCGAATGATGCAACGTGGTATCACATTCGAAGATACGCCAGAAAATACTGGCGGCTATGACGAACGGATCACCTGTTTTCCAAAAAATGTGGCTGTGCGTGTACGCTTCGATAGGTTTTAATGTTCTCCGCTAATAAGACTAGAATTGTAGGCAAAAAGTTGTCCAATTTTATTTTAATACGCATTGTTTTATGTGAATACTTGTTCATTCATATACATGAAAGTTATGGAGAGACTCTAATAGATATTAGAATTTTTATGCTTGATCTGCTTCAATTTAGATTTCAGATATCTCTCCTTTGTGTGTTAAAACCGATTATTCACCGATCGAATGAGAACTTTCTATTGAGTGAAAAATCTTATGCTAGGCACCTAATTCAATCTTGACACTTGGGGATTGTTTCTTGTTCACCTGGATATGGAAAATATGTTGAAGATGAACACAAAGCAGCTTTGAAATTTGTAGAGTAAAGAAGCAAATAGAAAGAAAAAAAAAGAAATTTAGACGGTTGAGCTAACTGCATTGAGGTTGTCTTCTTAAGTACGTAAGCATTCCAATCTCTTAAGATAGGGAAGAGCAGCTGTGAATCACTGTTTCTAATCAACGAAGATCGCCATTCACACAACTAGTAGGCTTCAGTTGCATTCCACTCGTTGTACCATTTCCATAGGATAGTGATGGTCTATTTTAATTAATAGGAGTGATGGGTGAGCGATGGTGAGTATAAGTGTTAAGTGAAGACATACAACGCTTCTCATGTATAGAGACAACCTTCCAACATTTTCAAATGAACTATGAAATATTCTAAGTTGAAACGTCTATTTGATAAAGATCCCGCTCTCTTCAGTCACATTTTACCTTGACTACAGCAGTAACAGATTCAATGTTTCTCGAAAACAGAACTATTAAGAAAATTTTTGGATTCTTTCTTTCGCAATCCGATGATCTACATCTGAACATGTCTGTTGAACAGCAGTCTTCAAGAAATCATGGCAAAAAAGTTTTCGTTGGGATCTGCATCTCAATATGAAATCGATTCCAACTAATGCCCAAAATAATCAAACGATTGAAATGATGGCCTGCATGGAACAAGTATGACAATGATAGCATTTTCAACAATTATCAATATGATTTGACTGAACGAGAAGACTTACATTCATCGACCCTCACTGTTTATATAGATGGTGTCATTGTTTTCTGTTTGACCTCAAAGAATATTTAAAAAAATTTAGTTCTAATACTCAATGAGAAACTCAAATGATTTCCTAGAGATTTTTTTTGTTGGGTAGAATATAATTCTATGTAGTGTTAGAAAGTTATAACTTATAAGGGCCTTGAATTGTGTTATGAAATGAAACCGAAAACTTCCAAGTCTTAACAATGAAATAGATTGTATGAGAGTATCAATTGAAAGTAATGCTTTGTTCACTGAGAGAAATCACATCGCTTAATTTAAGTGCACCGAATTCAGATTTTTCACATCGTCTTATTTTTTGGATTATTTGTCTATCATTCAATAGAGCTTTCTAAACTGATTACGAATATTTTTTTTTAATCTCATCATTACAAGATCTTTACCGTAATCAATTTCGACAACTTTAAGAGTCTGGTTTCTAATCTAAAAGACTCCATTCTTTCTTTCAAACGAAATAATTCAAAAGTGTTCCATCCCAACTGATTGCGACTTTTCAACTTCGTCTTTTGTCTACATGGAAGTCTTAGTGAGACTAAAAAACATTTTAGAAGTTTTCTTTTGTTTATACCTCTTCGTCATCGAGACACCATATAAATAATATCATAAAAGAAAGAAAATTTTATTTTTTTTTGTCATTAAAGAGGTCTAAGGTAAGTTATTAAACGATGAATCCCTTCAGTTTTTTTTCTATAATCGTCGATTTATCACCATACTTTTGCAATCATTTAAGTTCTTCTCGATTCTTCACTTTTCCACCCCAAAGATTTGTATTTAATGAATGTGCTTCATTCGAACAAAATAACAATTTAACAGGTATCCTCAGATTGTGTTGGCCACGTTCGACTATCAAGTTATGCCCGACAAGAACACGTGCGTTACGAGCGGTAGCGACAATATATATGTTGATGTAGAATCACAATCTAACAGATAAATAGATGATTCATTTTTGTAAATGTGCAGTATTTTCCATGGATGTTCAGCGAATTAATAGTAAAGTAATTCATTATACTTCAAATAGAGACTTGTTTGTCTCCAATTGCAGTCAAACATGTTACTTTTCACACACAATTGGTCCTAAAAAATCGTGTCTTCTTTTGTAGGTAGTTTGTTCTTTTTGTACAGCTTCTGAACATCAAAATTTTTAATATCTAATAACGGTGAACCTTTTGTTACAAAAAATCAATAAAATTTAATGCTGCACAAATATGCACATTTTGTGTATAACAGATTTTGTGTTGTTACTTTACTCTAGCTGCATTGAGATGCGCATTAGTCAACATATATTCTGTTGAGTTTTCCATGGAATTACATTATCCATCCAATCATTCAGAAATAAAAATGTTCTGAATTTTTAGTCTACATCATAAATGTGAGAAAATACAACAACAGTCATTTAGAATAATATCTTCCAAAATTTCTCCAAAGCATATTTTACTCGTATAATACTTTAAATTTTCTGCTAAGGCGTTTCTTGCCATTAGGCTTGTAGATATCAAGAGAAGTATTATTGGTTCTTTAGTCATTATAATTGTGCATAAAAATTTTAAAGTACTGTACAACTAAGAATATGCTTTGTAGAAATTCTGAACGACAATGCTCTAAATAACTGTTGTCGTATTTTCTCACATTTATGGTGAAGACTAAGAATTCTGAAAATTCTTATCTCTGTATAACTAAATGAAAGGTTAAACAGAGAATATGTTAACTAATGCGCATCTCTATGGAACAAGAACAAAAAGAAGAAAGTAGTTAGATAACACAAATATTATTATTAGATCCTACGTATCGGATACCACACTGATTCTCGAGTCGACATTAAGAAAAAAATCAGTAGATAGAAAAGCTATTTTAGGCTCATTTAAAACTGAAAATTCAATACAATCTAATTTATTTGTATCGAATAAAGAATACTTCTATCTACCTTATAGACGAACTATGCTCACTAACAACAAAGAATGAACATTTTAAAACTATTTGATTATGTCTCTATCCTTATAACTGAATATCAGATAAAAATACAATAGGCTTGTGCTATACAAGAAGTACTCATTCTTCTAGCACAATGAACTGACTACTTTATGGAAGAAAAACTAAATATATTAAATAAAAAAGACCTACTTCTGTCAAGAATCTAGTACTTAGCAGAAAAAGAGCATATATGTGTATACAAAAGATAATGGCTATCTTCCATTGCTACAAAAGTTGTGGCTACTTGAGAAGTAATATGCCTGCATTAAGATATATATATATATATATATATGATAGAAGAAAAAAATTAGTATACTATTTTAAAAAGATTTTTCAAAGCAATAAATCTGTTTTATACTTTAAAAAGAGCGACGTCTACGATCTATTGCCACGAAGTAGCTGATTACATTAAAAAAAGGATATAGTCAGTAAGGAAAAACCTGTCCCTCTATTCTTACGTTTTTATAACCCTATAACAAAGAAAAAATACCTATCTGTCCTCAAAAATAAAATAAAAAATGAACTCTTCCATCTTTATGAAGTTACTAGAAAAGCAGTGTCACAAGCGCTGTACTGATACATATTTTGGTAATGCTTGTCAAGTTCATACGAGGTAATGATTTCGTTTTGAAAAGTGAAATGTTTATCAACAAGTTTTTTTTCTCATAGAGAGTTATCTAACAGATCGAAGCATAATCCTGTTTACTACAATTAGCTTTCAAATTCAATACCAATCTAAATGTCTTTTTTATATTTCTATCGAATACATTCAAAACTCTTTAATTATGCTAAAATGTTTTCTACGACGAATCTTTGTACCTACAAAAACAAGTTATATATATTTTTTTCTTAAAATAATGTTCTGATGATTTTTGCCAGATTTTATAAAATTTGCTCTATGCAAAAAAAGCACGTTTTTAATAAGAGTCCCAATATTTTGGATCTCCTAAACAAAGAAAACAATAATTTTCAAAGAAAAATATATTTACACTCCAATTAGGTCTTATTTGTTACAAAAACCTGATTTCACAGAAGGAGATGTTAGGAAATTCTGAGTCTATGAAAACTTTTGCTCTACTAGTCAAGATCTATCTACCTTGAAAGTATTGAGATGTATCATCGATACAAAATACGTTTAGCATTTGTTTATATTCTAATGATGTATAGATTGAATTTTTCTCATGTAAAGACTACACTACAATAACATTTCAAGAATTATTTGTCTTAATATTAGGTACGATCTCGTTTTGACATTGCTGTTAGAAGCGTCCTCTATTGAATGGTTCTGCTATTCGCGGTTGAATGTTCGTCGTCGAGACAACGATGAGCATCTCTTTTCTTCTGAATCAAAAGAAGAAGAAGAAGAAGAATCAGGAGGTTATTAAAAGATTTAATCATGTTTCAACAAACTCAATCAAATAATGATTTACCTCGAAATTATCTTCAATTTCATGAAAATGCATTTGTTTCTCCTCTGAATCTTATTAATGTTACACATCCTGCACCGATTTCTTTCGGTCGAGCTCCACATTTTCTTCAACAAACAATTCCTCGTTTTGATACAACAATGCCATCATCATCATCACCTCAACTTCAATCGATTGATACAAATAAATTAAATATGTATCAATTTTTAGCAAAAAGAAAACTTAAAGAAGATCAATGGAAAAAAGAAATGAATGAAAAAAATCCTGTTCAACCAACATTTCAACAACGAAATGTTCGTTCATCACAATCACAACAGCGTTCAAAAAATCCTTCAATACGTTCTACATCAGTTCCAAAAAAACCAATTGTACCTAAAAAAGGTTAGTCAACTTGAATTAATAATCTAATTTAATTTTTATATATTCAAAGATAATAGAAATGAAATAAATCGTTCTCCAAGGACACCAACACCAATTCATATAACTCGTCCAAATGATCCATATGCTGCACTTTCAATTGGCAAACAAAATGAAATAATTGATATTCATGAACAACTTCTTGTACAATTACGTATTTTACATAGTCCACCAGCAAGAGAAAATATTATTGATGAAACTGAACAAGAAAAACAACGACGAATAAGACTTAAACGTGAAAGAATAAAACGTGATTCACGAGCTATTTATAATGCACATCAAGAACTTAAACAAATAATTAATGATGCTCAGCAGTCAGATGCTAATTTTGTATGTTGAAAAAAAATTTATCAATATCTTCCATTTCTAATTTTCAAAGAAAGTAGAATCATCAAGAAAAACATTTACAAGAACTTTTAGTAAAATTTCTATATTTTATGCTGAACCAAATATGAAAGTTGATCAGTCTCTTAATATGGAAAACGTTTAAAACTCCCGATCAAAATATTCGTTATCAGAAATTTCAAACTAAATGACAAGTTAAAATGAAGATAGAGTAAAACTTAAAGATTTTCTCCACTCTCTCTCATCACTTTTTTTTTTTGACTAGCAACCGTATTCTAACACTTAATCAATCATTTTATTTATATTTTAGCCTCGACTTATTCATCGTCATTTAAATGCTTATAAAGCAATTTTACTTGCTGTTGAAACTCTTGCAAATGAAGCTCCACTTAAACCACAAGATACACCTATTCAACAACTTCTCACTGCTCTACTTCCTGTTCTTGAAACTTTAACAAATGCAAATTATGCACTTCGTTTATCTCAATTAAATATTGATCCATCATTTCTTCATAATCCTCCATCAAAAAATATTAATCGACGGCCAATTTCTGATAATCGTGCATCACCATCGAATCAACTTTTACCTACGATTTATAATGAATTAATAAAAAAGAAACAACAACAACAACAACGAAAACCACGAGTAATACCATCAGTATTACGTCCACGTAGTGCTGAATCAGTACGATTACCTCGTACTGATACTTCATCTATAACTCGTTCAACAATATCAATTCAAAATAAAGCTCGACCACGAAGTCATTCACCATTACCATCAATAAAATCTGCTTCAACGATTGAAACACCATTTTATTCACGTTATACGATTGATCATATTCTTGGTAAATTAGCACCACGTCTTCTTGCTAATTATACTGGACGTGAATTATCTGAACAAATTGAACGTGCACGAACATTAATTCCAATGTTTCTTGTTGATAATCGCTTGACTGATGATGAAATAGTTACACGTGTTATACAAATGTTAATGCCAAGACAACAGCAACAACAAGTTCTTACATCAACAACTAGCTTTGAAGTTTTAGAAACACCAGAAGAACGTGCTCGTCGTGCTAATCTTGATATTTATCAAACACAAATTTCTACATGGGAAGATGAAATGTCACAAATTCGACAACGTATTCAAAATTATAAAACAAATCGATTAGAACAAGATACAACAATACGACGAACAGTTAAATTTCAATCCGATCCAATAGAAACATCTATATCACCAGAAAATGTTCATATACATAGGCCACATCTTGAATATACACTTGATGATTTTGTAACAAAATCAAATGAAAATAAACAAGCATTTGAAAAAACAATTGTACAATCATCATCTCGAGGTTATATTCGATTACATGGTTTAGATTCAAGTAAAATACGACAAATTGAACGTTATCAAAGAGATTTTAGAAATTATTTACAAAGAACAGAAGCAGCTAAACAGGATGATTTTGATCCATGTCAAGTTATTAATAGGTTAGTGCTAATGAAAGCTAACGCATATTACACAATTGTTAACAATGCTTTTCTAACATTTCATGTAGTTCAAACCGGTGAAAAGTGTCTTCGTTCGTTTTTGTGACAGAAGGCGTTTTTGAATGAATATCTATGATAAGACTTAGCTATAACTACAAAAATTTCGTTTGTCAGGATTTCTCAAGAGGTTGTTAAAAATGTTTTGCAAAAAGTTTCAAAATTTTGAGAAGCAAAGGTCTCTGTCATCTCCTTTCTAATCGGTAAACCTGCCGGTGGTTGTGAGAACAAACATGTGACATGAAATTATTTTTAATTCCTGTAAGACTTTTTCCTCTGCGTAATATATGTGATCCTCAAAATGTGAATTGGTTATATGTAAATCAATAAAATCTGGAAAGTTATCTTCATTTCTTGATTTTCTCAACACATCTGTTGTGTCTTTATCGATAAAACCCTATTTAATATCTTCTTCTTTATGCATTGTTCAAATTATCTTTTATTCATTTCTTATCTCCTTAACGAGAGAAGTCAAAGAAAATTCCAGAAAATAACAATAAATGCGAATTAAAAGGCACAAATCAGCATTTTAAACTTCAAGATATTCATAGTAATTCTTTCTTTGATACTTTATTCGATCAAGTCTTTGACTGTATATACACTCATTTTAATTTAATGAACCTTATAAACTCATGTTATATGCTATTAATTTATTACATTATTATTTAGATTATCAGAATTTCTACTCGACGAAGCATTACTTTCTGTTGTTAATGAAGTCGAATTATTAACTATTGAATTAAGTCAAAAATTAGTTGAAAATGAATTACTCGGTCGAGAAATATCATTAGCTGATGTTGAAAAAGAACAAAAACATCAATATCGACGGCCATTACAACAGGTCGATCGAAAACATTCACCAATATCACCATCATCTCTTAATGAACGATATACATCAAGTTTCGAAGAAGATATTAATACTGAAAGTAAAATATCTCGTTCAGAAGATGATGAAAATATTCCACGTCGAAAATCACCAATGGAAGGTACAGGTCGTTTTACAACAACAACAACAACAGCATTTGAACAGCGAAAACTGTCACGAAATCAACTATCATCATCAGCATCATCAACCTCGTCGCCGTCTGATTCAGAAAAAGGTATTATTCTTAAACCTACAATTGTTGTTAAAAAGCCAAGTTCAGCTCATGAGGACAATGATCAATTTTCTGATCGTGATGCTGATTCATCAATATCATCAAAACCCAAAGGACGTCAACAACAATTACAACACCAATCAAGTGTTGACGACGATGATGATGATGATCTATTATTAAGTACAAAAACTGGCGAAAAAATTTATTCAACTGATTTTGAAGAATCGAAAAGTAAACCTCGTAATATCAGTAATTATGATGATGAAGATGATGATGTTGCTGATACAATGAAATTATCCGCTCGATCTTTAAAGACTACTCAACGTCATCCATTCGATAGTGATGATGACGATGATGATGATTAATTTTACTATTTTGCAATTGTCATATGTGTGTGGTTTTTTGTACGTAGAATCGGCTATATAGAATAAAAAAAAAAACAAATAGAATATTTGATAAATTCTGAATACTAGAGTCTCATATTATATTCATACAATATTATTTTGACTCTATTCATGAGAAAGTATGGCAACGATTTTTCTCTAATATATATATATAAACAAAGATTGGTATGAAAAACTTAATGCATCATTTTTAATAGAATGGATGATCACTAAACAAATATTCTCTAGATTGTAAGGATACGATCTAGAATAAAGCCCGACGTGCTTCAGTTTAAAAACAAAAGTTCACCTTATCTATCGATTTGTAACATACTTATCATAGGGTAACTATGGTACAAATGATCATATAATAGGTATAGTAACAAAAACATAAATGATTGCGTACGATAAAAAAAAATGCTACTTATACATTAGAATTCAAATTAACCGAGGGAAAGTATCCAAGGACGAAGAATACGAACCCTGCATATACTCCGCGTTTTACTGTATACCATCATATTTTACTGTATCACATACGAAGAAATACGGTCGTAAAACTAAGCCATATAACGCGTCAAAATACAACAATTTACGGTCGTTTAAGAGTGTACTCTTTCGACCTTGGATGCTTTTAGTACTGACAATCATTGTTTATTAAATACTTTGAATGATTTAATTGATTGTTGAGTGTTATATACATGAGGATGTGACGTAAGAAATATTAAGAGCAAGAGAATGAGTTTGATCATATTATTATTGAGTAACTAAAGTTACATTACTAAAACAATGTTATATTAATTTTTTGCGATAGTAACAGTGCCTGTATAAATAATTGTATTGATTTCTATGCTAGCCTTCAATCAAAGATTCGCCTGAAAATTTTAGTCGAATCTCAAGTTGATCTACGTCTATGGTTGATTGAAAAGTTGATAAAGTCAATACCGAATCCATTAAAGATTAATTCCAAATTGAAGACTAATATACTGGATTCTATGTAGAGTTGCTGATTCAGATCAAAGAGTGCATCGAATAGAAACTGGAAGAGACAAGTATGGATGAAAAAAAATCGTCAATGATGCAAAAAAAACTTCGAAAAAGTAAAAAAAAAATTAATTTATATCTCGATTAGGAGTGAATAACGAGAATAAGTACGTTCACACCCATACACCTCCGCATTCTTCGCTGATTTTTTCAATGTTATTTGTTCGTGATTAGATATTGTATTTTGTTGAAAATAAAATTTCATGTACCATGATTAACTTGTCGGTTCGAGATTGACTCAGGCGGATCTAAGATCAGACGCTAATATATAAGTAACATAAATTTTATTGTAAACATAAATAAGACAGAGAATAATATGAATAATAAAAAACTGGAAGGTTTTCAATATCAAGTTTTTCATTGCACACATTCAAACTTGTAGCAAAAATACGATTAACAGTTTCCATTCACTGTACTCAACATAATTCAAAATCGGCTTGTTATTTCTAAATGAACATTACTTGTATTTTAATAGTATTCTCAAATATAATTTTTGTCAAAAATAAAAATCTGTGACTCTTATAACTAAGTTAATTGATATTAGGCGGTAAAATATTGAAAATTTATTTTTTTGTTGTTCCTGTCATGTTCGATCAAGAAATTGAATCAATATCGAATAAATTAGTACAATTTATTCAAGATTTGACAGTTAATATTCAAACAATTTTTAATAAGAAAAATTTTAATGAAAATTTTTTTGAATTATTTCAATTACGTAGTGATTATGCTAAACAACTTGCTTGTTTATTTGATATATTAATTAATAGATTTATTGAAGGATTTCTTCTTAATCGAACAAATCAAATTATATTAAATCTTGATCCTGTACAAATATGGCGATCAATACAATCTTCTATTGATCAATTGAATGATATGCAATGGCAAGATTTATGTTTAATTATTAAACATATTCGAACATTAAACAATTATTTTTATAATCTTTTATTACAATTGAAAGTAAGAAAAAAAAAAAGAAATGAAAATAATATTCATATGTAATAAAAATATTAAATAGAATAGTGAATTTCTTAAAATTGATCAAACACGTACATTGAATCAAAATTTAACTGAAGAATTAAATCATCTTTCAAAAAGTTTAATAAATTTTACATCAATTTTCTACAATAATTGTCAAAATATAAATAATACAAAAACACAAAAATCTTCAAAACCTATTGATACTTATCTATTTCAAAATGTATCAACAACACAATATTCAAACAATAACAATCATACTAATGAAGCAATATCAAATATTTCATCAACTGAAAAACCAAATATTTCTCCAGCTATGAATTCCAATTGTTATTCATATAATATGATAAGAAGTCCATGTCCACAACAACAACAATCGTATTCGACTGGCATCGGCCGAGGTCATTGTATGCAAACAAATCCAATTCGTTGTCCCATAGGAGCAATTCCAACTACTGCTTCATATCCATATACTAAACCAATGTGTTGTGGCATGAATTCAAATAAAACTGAAACTCCACCTCTATGCTTCCCAACACCTATTGTCTACACACCTGAAATGGAAACATTATTTTCATCCGGTGGTATTATTTATGCTCGAAAATCAGGTAAATAGACAACAGATCGACATGAATGACTAATAGTGTCTACCAAGTACGTGTCCTTACATATGTGAAAATTAGAATACTTAGGGATCATCATAAACGGTAGAACGTTTTGAATCTAGGATAGATTCAACAATCTTTATAAAATCTCTACCGCGATGTTAAAAATGATGAAGAGTAGAGTGGATCGTTTCGTATCATTCAGATGAATGTGTTAAAAGACATTTGCTTAAAAAATACGTCAACATTTTCGATGTACTTTACTGAAAAATAGAATAATAGGAAAACCGTAATGTTCACAGAAACAAGGAATTTATATTGTAGCTTTGCTCATTTTGTTGAAAATGTTTCTTAGACATCTAAGCTTAGCCATTGAAAACGAACAAAAGTTTCAGCAACTTCTAGTTGATTTAACTTGAATTTCCTGTATAGTTTATTCTTCATCTGTAACAAAGTTCTATCATTTCATGTCATTGATTATATATGAGCTCCAACACCTAATAATACAAAACTCAATTTTTTCTCAAGCACGTTTTATAAGTCTGCTTCACTACGAAAATGTTTCTATTTGCAGTCGAACATGATGAAAAAATGTTGACGTTGGTAAAAAACTGTAATCTAAAACAGACTTCAGTCTACCGAGGTCTCATGACTCCGCCATCTGTGTTGACTTTATAAAAAGAAAAACAAAAGTTAATTCTTTTCTATTTAGGTAATACATGGATTGCTGAAAACTTGGGTACACTTATTGAAACACTTAAAGATATAGGACAAACAATTGATATGACTGATCATTGTGAAATTTTAGTACGAAAAACTGGTGAATTAGTTGTTCGTCGAAAAAGAGGTCGTCGAAAACGTATGTTACAAGAAACTTTAAACAATAAACGAATGTCACCTGATAATAAAGCTTTTGACGATATGCATATTAATGAAAAATATTTCGAGTCTAATATTACCAATGATGATGAATAACAAAATAATAATAATAATAATTGTATTAAAACAAAAAAACAAAACAATACAAAGTTCTTACAAATAAACAAATACACACATAGATGAAACTCTATTGTATTCTCTTGTTTTTTTTGTTAAACTAAATACTATCACTTTGCATTTCAAGTTTTGTTGCTTCATCAAGTGGAGGCCACCAATTAGGTATCGAAGGTATAATAGGTACATCAGCATTTTGAATACGTAAATTATATTTCCATTCATTTAAACGTATTAATGCTATACCATATTGTTTTATTGATGTACATAATTTTCCAGCACGTCGTTTTGTTTTTTCATTAATAATTGTTAAATTATTTGCATTATGATTAAAACTTTTTGATAATTCTTTAAAATTATCAATTTGAACAGGCATTAAACGTTTTCGTATAACACCTGTATGATGTGTACGTGCAACAAGTTCTTGTCCTATATAACAACCTTTACTAAATGATACACCATTTAGAAAAACAATATTATATTCAAGTGGAATACATTCACCAGGTGGAATATCTTCAATACCTTCAGCAATACCATTTTGATATAACCATTGTTTATAAATTAATATATCATTTGATATATTACAAAAATCTGCAAGATCATTTATTTGAGTTTGATGTTCAGTTATAAGACGTATACCAAGACTAGGATGTCGAGGATCTGATTGACCAATAATAAGACCTTGTCGTGTTTTAAAATTTAAACAATCACGAAAATCATCTTTATTTAATAAAGATTCATTTTTAGATGAAAATATTGACCAAATACGATGTGTTTGTGTAACATCTTCTATATTAATTTGTTTACGAAGTTTATATGTACGTAAAAGACGTATAAAATCTGGAACAGCATTTTGAGATATTTCAATTAAATATGATGATTTATTTAAATGAGGATTATAAATAATCATATCATAAAGAATTCTTCCACGAGCATTAAGTAACATACTATAAATAGCATTTGTATTTTTTAAAAATTCAATATCATTTGTAATAAGACCTTGTAAAAATTTCGATGTATCATCACCATGAACTTTAATTAAAGAACGATTATCAAGTGATATAGCTGTAGCTGTACAATGATGAAAACGACATATAGATTTATATTGAAATAATCTTTTCAACATTTCTAGTCCAAACTAAGATTTTTAGGTTCTTTTTTTTTTTTTGCATTTATCATGATTGGTAATTTTAGATATCCATTCCATAGATTTTACTAAAGATTCTTTACGCCATCTATCAAATTAATATTATTTGTATTTTGTCATGAAAATTAGAAAATTTTATATTTAGAAATTTTCATATCTTATTAATTAGCAGTCAAAGCAATCTTCCAATAGTCATTTATCGTATTTTATAAATCTTAGAAAAAGTGTTAATTAGAATAGTATCATGAACATGAATAGCAATATATTATTTGATTCGAATTCACATACAACATATAATACGTTAACAGCTTTTTCTTTTAATATAAAAAAATGTATTTCTTTTTTTTTATATACGACTTAAATGATCAATTGATTCGTCATAGGAAATCAAAATAACAAAAAAAAAAAAAACAAAACAAAAGAGAAAGAAAGAATATGCGCCACGATACTTGATGATTACCTTCCATGTATGTCATTTTTATCGCAATACATGTATTACAATTGATTCATTCATTAAGCCGTTTGGGGAGTATGATGATCATGATTTTGCTGTCATCATCATCATCATGTTCCTTGCATACACCTACATTTTTTTTAATCGAAATGAGTGAAAATGTAACACGCATATACTTGACTGATGCTCATCAAATGCATGTAATCCATCCGACCAGTAGAAGTGATTACACTAGTCATCATTATACTCTGTCGCCTCTTGTTGATCTACCTTATTCTATCGTGCTACACACACACATGCACATACATATGTTCATAGATATGAGTATCTTTGATTGTTACGAAGTCTAGATGGAATTTCTTGCGGGCACAAAGCTTCGAATGTATATCGTTCGAGCGTAAAATACAAACGCTTCTCATTACATCGGCCGCCACTCTACTCTTCTTACTCAACTGAGTTCCACTAGTGGCATTGATGAATTGATGATAAGACGACGACGTGTTTTCATGCATGCATGAGTCTCTTTTTTTTTTTTCTTCTTACTCTCTTCTCTCTTCTTATTTGGTGCCTATGGTGAACTTACACACGCACACATAAACACACGCACTAGATCGACCGATCGACCATCTATTGCAGTGAAGCATGGCACATTTTCACGGTCTCTGGAGATGCACATACGCACACGCACACACATTTATATTATAGCAAAGAAACCTATAAGAACTATAGCAGTAGTTCTTGTATAGATAAGAAAAAAAAGAGAGAGCAGCACAGCTAGTAAATGATAGATATGGAAGAAAAAAAAAATCATGTCGGCGTAACTACATAGAAGTGCCACTCGACAGGGCGTCATCATTGTCATCATCGGAATGGAACGAAATGCGAGAATGCATTTGCCCCCAACAGTCATATATCAAGCAGACAGCATAACAGCCATCTTGTGTGCCAATATATAAGGTGATCTTCTTTCTCTCTCTCTCTGTCTCTGTGTCGTTCTTCCACCCACCTCCTTAGTGTGCCCCTCTTCCCATCACCGCCTATATGTGTGAGTGTGTGCGCAAGCGCGCATGCGTGTGTGTGTTTGTAGAGAATCAATAGCTGACATACACAAAGCAAAGCGAACACACACACTCTCTCTCATATACACATAGACATACACGGTGAAGGGGCAAAAAGATTAAAAGCGCGCAAAGCGAAACCGAACCGCGCCGAGAACGGAACAAACGAAACGAGACAACGCGACGCGAGTGTTGGCGCACACGGCGTGCCGTTTTTGTATCTATCAAAAAAGTGAGAGAAAAAAAGAAAGGAGAGACATAGACAAACAAGAGTAAAAGTAAAAGATGGTAAGAAGGTAAGTATAAATATGACTTAAGTCAAAATAAAGGAGTAGTGATGAAAGTATTCAAGCAGAGAACATATTCAACGACTAGTTTCTTTTGAGAGACAAATATGAATAAAACTAAATTTGCTGAGCGCAACAATGATGAATACTATCAATGGCCTTATTATCTTGAATAAACACAGGTGTCTAAATGTCATCCTCCATTTCTTTCATTCATTCGTTCGTTCGGTCGTTCGTTTGCTTGTTGGTTCGTTTAAGCTTATTTCATCGTCATCAACACAACGATATATGCTTATATACTTCTACGTAGATACGACTACATGTTTGTCAGATGAGAAAATGGTACTAATGATTGTTCGTATAGATGCATCACACATACACACATGCATACATATGCACAGTATAATCATCTCTCGTTCTTATTCTTCTTTTCTTTTTCTCATGAGTGTATATCGCACGTTTGTTCGCTTCATCGCAGTCGTGCCGCACAGTAACAGAAATAACAGAGAGTAATCGAACCGTGATGCGTGTCACTCTATGCCGTTTACATATGGCACTCTATGATGGTAACACCCACATCATCAACCATCACAGAATGGTACGTCTATATCGATATATATATATATATAGATATACATATTTATAGGCTGTACGAACGCAAAGAATGTATAGAGCAGCACATGATTTCATCACCATAATAGTGAACCAAAGCCAATAGGGCGAGTAATACGTACATAAAAAAAAAAAGAGAAAAAGAGAATGAGATGGATGAATGAATGACGGACTAGAGCGGATCACCTTTTCACTCAATACCATTTCTCGTCGTCTCGCTTTTGCGCATTGTTGGTCCATAGCAAATAGCAATCGATGTACTAGAGCAATATAAGATGCATTATACTTCACTTCATTATACTTTCTTATTCTCTTGCCTAACGTTCATCACAAGTAAATGCATGACGTTTAATTATGTTTTCTTTTCTTGATTCATATCTTTTTTTTTCTTCTTTGGTTTTCTTTTATTTCTCACTCGATTGACGATGTCGATTTATTGATCTAATTGAGTTGTCTATCATTACTGTATGTATTATCAAGGTTTTACATGTCTAATCTCTTAGTAGGCAGCCAAAAGCTTTACGTCATTTTCTGTATATATGGGGATTGTTGCATGACCGAATGTTTGAGTGAGTATGTAAGAGTGTGTGTGTGTGTAAGCACTTTTCTCTCTATAGGTTAATGTAGGGTGGGTATGGCTGCTTGATGATATGTCTGAGAGAGAGAGAGAAAAAAAACGCATCAGCATTGCCAATGAGAAGAGAAAGCGAGAAAAAAATTGAGAGGAATAAGATTCGTTCCACATGATGAACAACGAACGGCGCCGCCATTCTCTCTCTCACCCTCCATATGCATGTCGCTCGTTCGTCGATCGCGTTCTGCATCGCATCGTTGCTAACACACACACATATATATATATATATTCGGTGCCAAGCTAGGTGAATGAAAAAAAAAATAAGGGCCACGGGCATATGAGAAGAAAAATCAGTGTCTTTCATGCATAAACAGTCCACTGTTGTCGATATATATATTTTTTTCTTTCTCATCTTTTTTTTACCCTTAAACATTTGCTTAACTCGAAAACAGGAAATAACCTGTCTCTCTCGTTTTCATTATATACGCACACGCACACACCATCGTATGCTATTCGCTTCGTTACACATGCGATTAGTCACGCTTGTACAAATTCCCTTCAATTCTCGTTTTTTTTTTTCATTCTTTTCTCCTGTTCTGGTAATTCATCAAGTGTGTTGATTCTGGTCGTTGTAGTCAGACATCTATGGGTGTGTTGCCGGGCGGCTGATTACTCGAGTAGATGAAGCGTGTCTGTTTCTCTCTCCCATTCCGTTTTAGTGTGCGCGAGCGCACGTCTGGCATTTTCTTCTTTCTCCTCGTTTTTTTTACAACCATTTCTGTTCTTCATATACGGACGCGGCTGCTTGCTTTAGAAGGAGAGAGAGAGAGAGTCATAGGAAAGGCAGTATTGACGGCAACGAAGAGAACTCGTGCGTGAACAAAATCGATCGTTAATGAGAAGAGAAGTGTAGGCGACGACGACAGCCGCATCTATAATCTTGAAAAATGTCCTTCTATTTTTTATTCGGCTGTTGCCAGTAAAACAGCAGCTTCAACATTTTTTATTCGAAGTAAAAAAAACCTGACTATGGCATCAAACTATTAACGGTAAATATACTGAAAACGAAATGAATATTTATTGATCGTACACAATTATATATGTGTGTTTAAAAAAAACTAATAAAACTAGCCAATTTAATATAAGTATATGCTTAATTTAATTTGTTTTATTTTAGATCATGACAAGCATTTGCTGTTAGCTCTTTTTTTTTTGCCTTTTCATTTATATTTCTTGTTCTTCTCAATGACTGATACAATAATGACTGATAATCATTCGACTTATCAGAATAATAATAACGACAATATAAACGTGACTGATAATAGTGACGAAAAAATTGATGGTATCGAAAATGGATTAGAAGAAACGACGCAAAAATGTATAAATTATAAAAGAAAAAAAAAACATTTGAATCGATAAAAATTGATTGATTTTATTTTTGTTGTTCTTTTTCTAGCTTATGACAAACTTCGAGATACAGCAAGCCATGTTTCTAATGGTGTTAAACGACGTAAGAAATTTTTTTTTTTTTTGCTATCTCATCTAAATTTCTGCATGATGTCAAAACAATAAATTTAATATTTATAGAAAAAAATCGATTTTGTTCATCATCAATGAATCAACTTGGTGGTGAATTTATTAATGGTCGACCATTACCAACCGATACACGTGAACGAATAGTTGCATTAGCTGAAAATGGTGTACGTCCATGTGAAATAAGTCGTCAAGTAATACTCTAATATTGATTTCATATTTTCAAATCTATTTATTCTTTTTATTTTTTTATAGCTTCAAGTATCACATGGTTGTGTCAGTAAAATATTAAAAAGGTAAGTTATACGAAGGCCAATATCAGAATTGTATCGTTGTATACTACGGATTTTTTTATATGTTGTCTAGATGCTTATTTCTTCTTCTCCTTCATATATAGTGTAAGATTCTAAGCTCATGGTGATGGTGAACTAACTACTCTAGCATAATATCAAAAAAAGAAA